TCCTGAAAATGGTATCTGAGCAATGAAAGGCAGTGAATGTTTTAAAGATCACTGCATTTAATTTATTCAACCTAAATGCATAAAAGTACAGGTGGGGACATTATTTATGCAGGTATATGCAAATCACTTTATAAAACAGGCAAAGCCCTTCTGCTTTTTATAAGTTGCCAAGGTGGTTCCTGGTATTTTAAAAGCTATGCACCTTTAATGTAATTTCCAAAGGGTTGGAATCTCTCTGTTGGAATCACAGTCATTGTCAGAGCAAGTTTATTTTTTTTCTCTCATAAGGGACATTTACAAGGCTCTCATAACCATCACAAAAATAGTGGTTTCCACAGAGATGTGACTGGAAAAATCCCTTGGAAATTGCTGAGGAGCAAGTCACAATGTTCAAAACAGAGAACATAGGCTTTGAAAACATGAACCCATCTGACCTCCTGAATTTAGTGCAGCGAATTCCTGAGCTCTCAAACATGGGGCCCGGCTGTGCATGCCATATTGGTGCTATAAGACTGGCAGTAGGTTGGCTGTGGCATGGTCTATTTCAAACTCCTTCACAGTGCCCAGTGTTGCATGTTCCCAGATGACATTTGGTTGGCAGAAGCTGGGCCTCCAAAGCTGGCAGTCTGGAATGCGGCCCACTGTGTTTTGACAAACACATAATTGACCATCTGATCACCAGCCTACATTCTGCACTCAGGTCACTGAAAGGACCTGAGCTTTCAGTGGGTCCCTAGTCCTTGTCTTGCTCATCTTCTCAATCCTTTCTCCAGACAGCAACACAGAGAAGACTTATACATGCCCACATATACACTCCCATTTGCAAAAGAGAACGTGGAACATGAAACAAAAGCTGTTGAAAATTTCCTTTAAACTGTCCTGGCAGCCCAAAGTGAACAAGAGAAAAGCACACTTATGGTGAACTCTAATTCAGAAAGCAGGAATGAATATACTGAATTGTTTCAACACCCGGCTGTGCATAAGTTGGAATTCAGCTCAATGGCTTGAAACTTCTGCTTTAAAAAAGGCAGCAAAGGGAAAATGATAGAAAATTGGGGCATTGGTTGACTTTAGGGGGACATTCTTAAGAAATGGTTTCATTTTCAGATGAAAGACGAGAAAAGCAGGACACTGGGAATGGCTTCTCCATATCTGCCTGCTCCACCCCCAAGTCCACTATGGGAGAAGGAGTCACATATCCCTGGAGACTAGTAGGCAAGCAGCTCAGAGTGGGGTCAGATTTAGACTGAGCTCTCTGGTGAAGCTCCCACACAGATACACTTTGATCTGAAATTTGGCCCCACACAATACAACAGTCTTTCCCTTTGAAGTCAAGGACTCTGCATTGGGCCAAGAGATGCTGGCATTATGCAATGCCAATGCCTATATCAACACTACCATATGGGCTCTCCTCTCCACTTCCACCCCCACAGCACAGTTCTGGCCCTTGGTCTTCACCTTTGACCTGATCTCCTTTTTTTCAGTCAGCTACCTCCGCCATTACCAGAACACTCTTTTTTAGTTTTTCTTTATTATTTATTTATTTTAGAGAGAGGAAGGGAAAGAGAGAGAGGAACATTGACCAGTTGCCTTCCATACTCTCCCAGACTGGAGATCAAACTATTGTAGCAACCTAGGTAAGTGCCCTGACTGGGAATCAAACCCACCACCTTTCTGTGTACAGAGCCGATATTCGCACCAACTGAGCCACACCAATGAGGGCAGAGTGTTTTTTTTTTTCTTCTAAAATACAAATCTGGTTACAATTATTCTCAGGCTCCTGAAGCCTGTAACGTCAAGTCCAGACTCCTTCCTGTGCATGGCAGACCAGGCAGGCCTTCTGAGATCTGTCTCCTCCCACTTTCAGCTTTGTCTCCAGGCTCCTCTTCCCACCGCGGGTTCCTCCACACTAACCACTGTCCTCTGCAGCTGCCTGCTGTTCGAAGCCTCCTGACTTTGCAAGGGCTTTGACTTTTTTTTCTTCTAATTATGATTCTCTTTTGCTTTCCCCTCCTCTACATCCACATAGTAAACTGCAATTCATTCTTCAGACTTTAAGACCCAGCTTGGGTACCTCTTTACACATAGGCACTCCTCTTTATAACCCTTGCTGCATCTTGTATATACCTTCATCTCAGCTTCTACCATACGGTATAGCCTTTATTTACTATTTCTCTCTCTGAGAGTCTTAACAACAGGCAGAACTTCTTATTTATTTTGGAGTTTCAGGTATCAAGCATAGTTACTAGTTTTCCATAAATGTTTGTTGACTAAAAACAGAATAAAGGGCTGTGCATGATAATTAATCAAAAACAAACCAAGCAGTAGTATTAGCTTCTATAGGCTTGTTAGGAGCCTCTTAGCAATCTAATGAAGCTAGAAGATCCCAGAAGTAAGGTTCTTTCTGAAGGTTATCACAAGGGGAGTGAAAGAGGGGGAGGTAGATGGTGGGATGGAGAATGTCTTAACAGAGAATGTCACTAAAGCAGTGAATTTTATGCTTCTTCAATACTTAGTATTAATAGGTATTATTCAGAGAATGATCAGAGTATGAACTGCATGGAGGCCTAACATGTAAGAATTGGTTTCCCAAATAGGACAGGTCTGTGATACCTGCTTTAAGGCAGCAGGGTAGGTTATCGAGGGCTCTGTTACGCCTCATTTCTGCTAAATAATAATGAAATGGAAAATTCTTGTGGGAACATCTGGAACCTATTTATCCTATTGAAATCTGTGTCACATCCAGATTAGGACTTTGGGCTAACTGCAGTGCCAAGAAGGCCACGCAGGCAGAACTGAACCCCTGCCTGAAGGAGGCCATTGCAGAGACTCCAGGAGTTGGAAGCACTGGGGAGATAATGCTCTGACCTGTTTCCAGGAATTTTTCCTTTCCCTTTGATGGGCATCTGGGATACCACCTCTAGAGCCATCAGAAATATCTGTGGGGCACTTGAGGACAGCAGGACTGTCACAGGCCCTGCCATCCTTGAGATAAAGGTAGGCCTCAGAATTTGGAACAATCCCTTGGAGCATAAAGACTGGCCCAGGGGTAAGACCAGGTTCGTGAATGGGTTATCAGCCCATTACAGTCATTCTCCAGCCTTATTTATAGTTAAAAACTAGATCTCTCTACAAGCTGCTCGGCTGATGGCTGACATAGCATAGAATCACTTTCACATTTTCCTATGAACCAGAGACAGCCTTTCAATTACATTTTTTATCTCCAAGGTCTCCCTCTTGATCTCTAATCCATGACACAGGCCTCCAGTCCCCTGTACTGTTGTGTCTGAGGCTCGCTCTACAATGCTGACGTCATAATAGCTGAGCTGTGCGGGCAGAAGTGCACTGTGCTGACTCATCCCGGTGATGTGAGGATTAATGCCTTGTCTAACACAGAGCTATTATGTGAACTGCTTTTACACAAAGAACTGTAACAAAAATGATTTGCCAGCCGGAGGACTAGAAATAGGCACTGCGAGGTAGCTGGGGCAGGGATGCAGAGACATAAAGTGGTAACCATCAGCGTGTACACTGACACCCTCTGAAGCACTGACAGACCCACTCTGTCAACACCGAGAACAGGAAACAACAAGACTGTCAGGGGCAGAGAGGACCCACCCCTGCTGCATAAATGCATTATGCACAGCACCAGTCTTCGGGGAGTTTAATCAATCTCCTTTTTCTGTCAAATAACTGTCAGTTTAGACTTTCGCCTGGGCATCCTTTGGAGGATTCTGCTCCCCTAAATATATTTAACTAGCTTCTAAGAATATTACTGGAAGCCACACACAAGCAAAAGAGCCATGAGACCCCCCTTCTGTGCAAATGATTACAACACTAGAAATATCTGGGAGTGAGGACTCAGTGAGGTAAGATGGGATGTTGTGAATAAGGAACCAGCTGTGCTCACCGAAGAGTGGGAAACAGCTGGAAGAAATCACTCATTTAAATAAATAAATGATAACTTATCACAGAAGGTGATGCCACTACCTGTAGCATCTGTTGGGTGGGGTCTCATGCAGAGACTTTGATTATTTAGGTTCATTGATCCAGAACCTCTTTCAAGCAGCTCAAAGTAAAATTTATCCAAAATCATTCAGTGCAGCCTAGTTTGGGCTTCAAATAATAAATATTACTGTGATATCATCTGCAATCAAGTTATTTTCTTCTCTCCAAACAACCTGCATTTTTTTCTAAAACAGAATGGCACCTTTTATAAACCTCCTGGTGCATGTAATTCTTGATTTCTCTATCCATTCCCCCCTCCCCCCCAGAACTTTACAATTTCACACATAATTTTATCTAAATGGCTGAAGTCTTGTATTTCTCAGTAAAAGGATATTAGAAATTTGGTCAATAAATGAAAGCTCTGATCTGGAAGCTGAAATAAAAAACAATTGAACCACCTGGCCAGTGTGGTTCGGTGGATTGAGCATTGATCCATGCACCAGAAGGTCGCTGGTTTGATTCTTGGTCAGGGCACATGCCTAGGGTTTCAGGCTTGATCCCCAGTGGTGGCTAAGCAGGAGGCAGATGATCGAAGTTTTTCTGTCATCTATGTTTCTATCTCTCTTTCCTTCTCCCTTCCTCTCTCTCTAAAATCAACAGAAAACATATTTAAACAATAACTTTGAGCCTAGGGATCGGTATATAACTGAAGAATACATGATTGACCGACAGTGCAGCAACAGCCCCGTTGTTGCGGGTATCTGGCTGAAGAACGTGTAGAGGAGCAGTGACTTTTGCAAACAGCAGCTGTGGCTTAGTAGAAAGCAGTCTTTATAGAAGTCCAGTCGCTGGGGCCACTGGTCTTTTCAGCTGCCTCATGGATGGCACTGCTACCCCCACCAACAGCATTGACTCCAAACACAGAACAATCTACTGCATGCTGAAGAAGTGCCAGAAACCACAACCAAGTCAACTAGATAACGTGATAAGAAAGACCCAAATTCCCCACATCTGACACTGTTTTGAAAAGTAAAGAAACCGCTTTTACTTACATATAGAGAAGAGGCAGGCTGCAGACTGATGGTCAAGGAACTGAAAATCAGAGAAAAAACAACAAGGAATTAAAAACGAACCCAGTGATACTATGGGAAGAAGAAAAGCAAATCTAAATACTGTATAGATGGGGCTGGTTGCTCCTAAAGGATGAGCTGCAGGAGCCCATAGAAGGAGACCCAACTTCATAACATTTTCGAAAGGTGTGACCTGCTCTTCGACCAACACAGTACTCCTCACCCCAAGAAATGCCAACCTCATTCTGATCGGAATTGTATGAGTATTTTGTAGGGCTGGGCTGCACATCAGCCACATTTATTTATTTAAATAATTAATTACAATTTAATGAAAGCTTAAATGTTTAGTGCCTCTATCATCCTAGCAACATATTCAGTGCCCAGACGATTCTCTGGCTGGACAAATTTACCACTTTCATGTCTTGTCAACCTAAATTGAAGATCTGGGTTGGTGCTGGCTGAGGACTTGGTACTGCCTCCTCTATCCCATCTCACCAGCCAAGCAATGTCCCCTCTGACAAAATTATATTAAGATAAAACATCTGTCTCCCAGAACATATCTCTAATGTTGACAACTTCAGGTTTGAGAGAGTTGGCCTTAGCAGTTTCTCATTCTACATTTCAAATTTATTAATTCCTCTTTTTAATCTTCAACTCACAAGACAAATGAGCTATAAGGACTGGTCTGCTCACCATTGTTTTGATAGCGTCTCTTACAGAAGAATAAGACTGAAGTAACAGAAGATCCATGAGAAATTAATAAACCAAACAAGGATGCTGAGAAAACAAAGCAGGTATCCCCACCTCTATCCCACTCAAATGTATCAAGGACTTCACACTGATTGCATTCTTGTCTCTCTGACACCATGATTTTAACTACTTCACATAAGTCTTCTAGAAATATGCAAAACAAACCACATTAAAAGAGATCAAGAAGGATCTGATTAAATAACTCAGCACAGAATAAGGCTAAAGCAGAAAAACGGCAATTTAAGAGACTTCACTTCTCAGCAAAATTTCTGGACAAAGCCTGATTGCAGAAGTTCCTCCAAAGAAAGAGTTTCTCCTTCATTTCCAAGGTGAAACATGCAAGTGGGTATTGCTCTCCATGAAAATCCAGGCATAAGTATGCGAAGAGAGGTTGGGGTCTACAATGCTTTCAAAGTGTTTCACAAAAATGACGAGTTCAATGAAAATCTTAAGCAAGATAATTAGATTATTTATGATTCATTGAAAATGCATACAAACCTGAAATGTGTATCATATATGACTGACTAATCTTCAAAGACTTCAAAGCTCTAAGTTTTGTCACATTCTAGTCTCTTCTGAAAGCCAGGATCCTAGACCATTGTAGGGTGCATGTTTTAAAATATTTTTCTTTCCCTCCCTCCCTTCTTCCTTTCTCCTTCTTTCCCTTCCTCCTTTCTTTCCTCCTTTCCTTGCTCCCTCCCTCCCTTCCTTCTTTTTCCTCCTTCTCCCCCAACATTTTTGAGAAAGACAAAACTATGATTAGTGGTTATATATGAACTATGCTCACTTATTTTTTATATTGCATGTTATAAACGCAATTAACTCCAAGTAATATAATATGCTATTTTTAAATTGTACTTTGTATTTATGTTCTTATATCTAAGCACATAATGTCCCTTTCTAAATTTTAAGGAGCATTTTTCTTCATAAAAGTTAATCAGTTAAAATTAATTTTTTGATGTTATCAGAAGAGATCAATGTAAATTATACTCAGATTGACTTAATAAATCCAAGGCCTGGAATAAAAAAACAAAACAGAAAACTCTTTTTGGATGTCAAACTACACACAGGGTGTCAATAACAGGAATCCAAGATGGAGAGAAAAATCACAGTGTGTTATGTCAGTCTAAGACAAATTTAAGGCAAGTGAAATCACAGATTTTATTGGATATAATTGTCTTTATATTTTAATGAAAAACAAAATAATACATATCCCAAATTTAATAGTAAGGCTACATATTTAATCTCAGAGTTCTTATACAATTCATAAATGTTCATAAACATCAAAAGGCCCTGACTTCTTGATTGAATTGCAATCTGCTAGGCAATTTGGAGAATATGTATTAATCTCTACAGGTTTATTTTTGTTCAGTTCAAATTGTTATTTGATTGCTATGCATCTTTTCTACCTTATATGTCTGTAAGTTGTTTTTATCTGAAATGTAAAGAATTATCTATAATAGTTTTGTATGAGATTAAAAACATTTGCATTGAGCATGCTCAGTTCCAATCACAAATATCTAGCAAGGAATATGTAACTGCAAAGCCCAGAGGAATCAGGACTTTAAAACATGGTGAAAGAGGCACAGAGAGGGGGTGACTGTAGAAGTCTAATCTTAGTTTTGTGATTTCCAAGTGGAAATTATTATATACTATCAATCTCCAAGAAACTAGAAATATTGATAATTGTAACTTAATGTCAGTCAATTCTGATTCCAATTTATGTAATGTTTTAGGATAACAGTGATAAAGATCTCAGTGAGAATCCTTTCCCTTAGAGACTCTCCCAAAACACCAAATTTCGGGGAGCTCCTAGGCTCCACGAAGGTCATCCAGGAATTCCAGGTTAGTAACCCTAATGGGAGGAGAAGAAAAAGCTCTTTCAATTCTACTGCTCATTGCCTCTAGGACAAGCATGTCAAACTAGTGGCCCACATGAATATTTTTTGTGGCCCAGCAAACATAACAGTATGTAAGAAACGTTTTAATAAAAATTTTGCAACTTAAATTTTATAATATCCTGTTATACTAATTATTTATAATGAACTACAACGTTTGCTAATGACTGCTTACTATAATGGTGTTGCATTGATTTCCCTTACGCACCTTACGGGCAGGTGCACCATTTCTCTCCACTAATACTAGCAGCGAATATTTTAGCAGCCGATTGGCGTGTCATTAGTCTTGTACTGACTTGTTTGGTGTGCTCAATAGGAAATATTTTGCTTTCGGAGAACAACAACAAAAAAGGTTTATTTGCGTATGCTTATTAATTTGTGCAGTTATTCAGTGTCTGGCAAGTTAATGCTCAATAAAATATTAATTTTTATTATATCGTTCTATTATTTTATGTTAATGATTACTCATTTATTTCAGTCCTTTGTATTCAGCATGTCTCTATCAAAATAAACCTACATTTCTATGAAAATTGAAGCTTTTTTTTTCTCTCCCCCCCACATAAACTTAAAACTTGTTTAATTGGCCCATGTTAGCCTTTGAGTTTGACATGCTTGTTCTGGGAACTTTTTCCCAAGTTGCTATATGCTGAAACCAGAAGTAACCAAATGTATAGAAATTACCTGGGTGATTGAGTATGGCTAGAAACACACAGATTAAAGACTTCCCAGACTCTGACCTTCCTAATCCTTTATACTTTTTTACTTCTTCTTTTTTTTTTTTTTTTTAAAGTTCGTAGAGCCTTAGTAACAATGAGATAGAGAAGTAGTAAGCGGATAAATGATAGCATTACTATTAATTGAGTACTCTGTGGCTTCAGGCATCCTGCTAAGTAAATGCTTCTCAAGTTTGATTATGGGTCTATCCAGAGAGGTGGAGTCAAGCAACTGGAGTACAAAAGCCACAAAATAAATAATAAAGACATGATTGTCCATTTGGTGGGGCAGTTGTCCTTGTGGCTAAGTACATAATTTACACTCTTATTTGTACATGTATTCATTTGTCCAGTAACTATTTCTTAAATGTTATAGAAGAAATAAAACAGATACTCTTCTTGGCTTCATAGAATTTCCATTTCAGTGAAATAAACAAGACTATATTGAGGAGTAGAATGCAAATCTGTATGTATTTTTAGGGTGAAACCTGAGACCTCGCTGACAAGTCTCATTTATGGCACACTGTTTCAGGCAATGTCCCCAGCACCCTGAGTATTGGATCAGTCGCTCTACTAGAAGAATTTGAAAAGCAGCATTAACTGTGTACCACTGTATCCTAACTATACAAGTAAATACCATTACTTCCAATTGACTAGAGAGATTAAAAGGAGATTTTAAAAATTGGGAAACTTACTCCAAATCACAATGCTGCTGGGATCTGAATGAGGCTGTACCATTTCAAAGTCTACATATTTTTAACCACTAAATTACACTACCTCTAGGTGGTTCCCACTTTATGTTTTCCCCTGAAATCTGGGCTCATTCAGGATTTCGGAGGCTAGTTTAAGCTTTGCCTTTGGAAGAAGACAGGTTTGGCTTGATTTGCATTCTAAATATTTCACAGTGGTAAGGGAAAGCTATTATTATACCCATTTTATGGTGCGGAAGCTGAGCCACTTGCCAGCTGAGGTATCTGGCTGGGTTAAAAACAGAATCCCAGTCGTCAGTTTCTCATTCCTCTTGACTAACTCCAAGACTAAGTGCTGGTACTGTCCAAGGGTTTTTTTTTGGAAAAGAAATTCACCCCAGCTGATAAAGAGTGTGACAGACTTTGCTAAGAGAAAATAATAGTGCAATAAAAATATGGAAATAAAAAATTGGTAACTTTTAAGCACTGTGAATAGCAAAGGGAGAGCTTATTCATCACAAATGAATCATAAAATTAGAATGTGTCACAGCACTAATGACAGAACTGAAGAATTCGGAAGATCTGAAGTTCAACACTTATAGTTCCATCTGAAGAGGGTAAATGGAGTGACAACAAGACAGAAATGACCTCTTAGGCCATTAATCTTTCTGATCTTTCTTCAACAACTGTCTCTAGAAGCTAGGTGGGTTTACATCTTTTTTTTTTTTTTTTATGGGTCAAGAGAATATTTTGATATTCTTTTAATGTTCTAGAAGTATTGTGTTAATTAATTCTTATGTGGGAGTCATTCCAAATAGCAGGATGAAGATTTTTGCCTTATTGATTTTTCTAATCCCTTTCTGGCTCCCAGTGTTTTCTAAGGATGAGGTACTATGGGGTTTTTAGATTCATGTGCCTGTTAGAGTATGTGCCAGCTTCATAGGTTCCTGTCAATTGATATTCCATCTTTAC